AGACATTTAATCTCTTACCACCTCTTCAGCTGTCATGAGTTTTGCTAGCTGAAGCTCTTTCTGAAGCCCTGCAGCACTGGGATGGAGGAGTAATGTCACACAAATGCAAACTTTTTGCAAGAGTACCCTTAATAATTTTAAACTACGCATGTCACACCAAACCCATAATTGCTTTCGCTGGTCAGCTGCAGGGTGCACACCTTTTCAAAAGGATCACCATGTTGGTCTGGAAGTTGTGTCTTGTGACCGGGAGTGGCAAAAGATTGATGAGGTACTAGCCCATAGCCCATTTTGAAAAATACTCATCTCGTACATATTCAGTAGCCTCTTCTCATGCCTAATTATCATCCCTTTGAATAATACAAAAAATGCAAGTACTGTCCATTTAAATTAAAGGGGTGCTCAGCACCACCTGCAGTTGTACTCGCACCCAATAACAAGCACTGGGATGGCAGCTGAAGGGTGGGCATCATCCAGAGGGCAGAATTCAGGCCCACTAGATTGCAGCCTTGCCACTCAATTAAAAGAACTCAATGCCTCTAAAAGTATATGCATATACCAGAAATTTGGGGCATTACTATATGAACAAACCAGAAATCCTTCTCCTTCCCAATAGGATTTGTTATGGAAACAGCATATAATTTCATTCCAATACCACAGATTTGCCACTACATTAAAGAGCATTACTGTTACGGAAGGATGAACGGTAAATCAGCATCCCCAGCTCTCCAGGCTACAGCCCTCTTCAGGGGAATGGGGATTCTGAGTGCCCCTTCATTTCAGGCTATAAATATATCCCATGAGAGAAAGCAAAGCCGTTCATTAAGGAATGCTTAAACTTGACTACTTCTACTTTACTTCTAGCCCAAGAAACTTTGTTATACCACAGTTTTGTTCTTGTATTAGCCTTCTTGTCAGGGACAAGAGAACTGGGCAATACTGCTTCTTTGTATACGGTGATACTTTCTCTGGTAAACATGGTACATCAATTATACAGACTGTGTTGTAAAAAATCCTATCTAATTCTCCAGAGCAATGGATAGATTTAACAGTGAGGTAAAACATTAGTGATGACTGTAATATAACCATGCAAAAGACACCTTTGTATCATATCAATAAAGAGCCTCAAATACCATTATGTGTTGAGAAATAAAAAGTATAAAAAGGTAGGTGAGTCATACAGACAGCACCACGGCATTCAGTAATGACTGTGACCTTTGCAAATTACTGCCCTGTGAAAGTTCACAAAAATTAGCAAACAAAAAAGCAGGGGGCTGCTCTTTTAAATGATTTTTAAATGATCATATTGTGCTGTCTAGTATATTTATTAAAATAACCAAGATTAGACATGGAGCTTCAGCTCTGCAATCTATGAAAAAAAATCCCAAAGAGCCGAAGGGGATCTGTATCTGCTGGAAATCATGAACTGCAAATATTAACAACATTTTACTTCATGTAGAAATGACAATTCCGTTATTCATCTTTGAAAAGTATTTTTACAAAATTGGTCCTCCCATCCCTACCATAAATACAAAGTCTCTATTACAAATAAATGTGTTCTCCCATGCATAAATAAATCACATACATTCAGCTGCAAGAGAACAGATCAGTCAAAACAGCTCAACTGTAATTATACACTGACCAGAAAGAATTCCACTGCAACTGAAATTGAATGGCTTGTACTTCAGGTCATTAGCTGAGTGCTGACCAGTACAATTTTAAATGCTAAAATATCCCCCCAAAAAAGGGGGGGAGGGACACTTGAGAAAAATGTGCAAAATATCTGAGAAAGCAGGAACTAAGTTCATGTAAAACAAATTTAAAAATAACGAAAAAACCCTGCCCTCTTTCTCATGAGAGAAATTTTGTTAAGCTTCCCTTACTTCTCTATGGCTGTTTACGCATCACAATTTGAAAACAGTAACTGAGACAAAAATCATTTACATCTTCCTCCAGATCTACACAATGAAATGCTGTACTAGCTTGTAACACTGGAAATCAGAAATCAAGTCTCATAATTAGCCAGTCTTTCCTAACAAACCCATGCTTACAGAATGGCACTTTGAACAATGAATTAGAGAAAAAAAAAAGGATGTGTTGCGTTGAAAGGTTTAAGAATGCGTGTACTTTCCAAAAAGCTGAAATGCTTCCATGAACATATCGTTTAACTCTGGACTTACCAAATATTCCAAATTCAGGAAAACAAAACTATTTTACTCATTAAAATATTCTGACAATATTGCAACATAGTCTTGAGTGTCAATTTTGAGCAGTGAGAAAATCTTTTTTTTTATTTTAATAGGAAAGGGAGAAGAAAGGCTAAGTTGAGAGAACCCTTTTCTTCAACAAAAAAAAGAAAGAAAAAGAACTGGTGAGCTTCTTTCTTCTCCTGCCATATAGCAGATCTCTTCTTGGATTTCACACCACCGACCATACCCTGTCAGAGATCTTGAACAGTTTACATTACTTCTTTTGAAGGATTAATCTAGACCGGCCCAGAGATAAAAAACAAAACGCACAATGAATTCCTACACTGAATTCCAGCTTGTTACTGTGAACTCAACATAAGAAAAGAAAAAAGGAATCCCGCACATCTTGTAGTATATACACTGCTTTCACACAGTATTGGAGTTAGTCTGAGGAATATGTAGAGGGACAAGATAGTTTTGTACAAAACCTCAATTTATTTCAGAGAAATTAAAAATATGGTATTTAATATATATAAATTTCTATTCCTCTATAAATATAGATGATCTTGTGATAATGAACAGAAATAAATGCATACCAAATTCAAATAATTTTGCATTTCAGGGTATGGTAGCCATAGATAATGTTTATGAACCTAAATACAGGCATTTGTAACATAAAAAAAAGTTTAAAAGAATACAATCAGGAGAGAAGCATTCTGCTGTTTTTCATACAGAGGACTAAATATTCAAATGCATCTGTCGAAAGTTACAATTTCATTTTTAACCTTTTTTTTTGTGTATTAAGAAGCACAATCCCACACACCCAGGAGCATACAAGGTAGTAGATACACTGCACACATGGTACCTTATCTCTGCAGTATGCAATGTTATTCCCGTACCGAAAAAAAGAGGGGAAAAAAAAGACAGCAGAGGCTCTTTAAGGTCTCACATCCCACCAGAGTGCTTAAACATTCCGGTTTTGTGTTTTCCCTTCCTTTGTTTTTACCACTGGCAAAAATCATCACACCCTCATAATATGTAATGAATTAAACGTCAATGAATTAAAATTCAGGGGAATGGCAACGGCTCCAATGTTTCCCAAATGAAGAGCCAGCTTATGGATATAATTAAGAAAAAAAAAACCCAAAACAAAAACCTGAATGCTGCGTTTTATTCCAGTAAGGCTCTTTTTACTGAGCCCACGTTTCCTGGTCCTGCTACCCCCAGCCAACAGCAGCCCGGCAGGGAGGGCACCGGGGCAGGAGGCGGTGGGAGCACCCGCGGGGTGCCCCCGGGGAGCGCCGTCCCCGGCCCCCGCTCCGCCGCCACCGCTCCCACCTCACCACCGAAAAGTGGGCTTAAAAAAACACAAGAGGGAAGTTATCTACGTCCCCATCCGCCTCCTAAGCCAGCAGACGTGCTACAGGTGCAGACGGTGTCAAACCTCAACTCCTGCAACAGAACAGGCCAACTCCTCTTAAACTATGTGGTGCATTTAAATAAATTTTGTAAAACTGGGAGAGGGCAGCCGGCAGCGGAGAGGGTCTCCCTCCAGAGAAAGGCCCGGCACACCGCCGGGCAGGGCTGG